GCTCATATCGTCTCTTCGGTTTTGCAATTCTTCAAACTCAGGTTTCCGCTTTATGCTGCCTCAGTGCCCAGACTTTCTTCCGGCTCAAGAAGACTGCGGGGACGAGTGAATGGGCCGGGTTTGGGCGTGAAGCTTCTTTGTGAATTGGCCCTATCCCTTTTAAAAGGCCTACCGAGTTCCCTCCGGTCACGGCCCATGGATCTCTCAGGCAAAAAACTTAGTGGGTAAATTCAAAATTAGTCCTTAAATTTAGTTGATGTTTCAACAGGTTTTTTTTTTTTTTATTAACCTCCTATATCTAGCAACGACATTAAATCATGATTAATCTAGAATCGATCCACGTCAGATCCATAAGGAAAAAGCTCTTTTAGTACTTATTTTTTCATTTATAAGATTTGAATTTAAAATCTTATTTAAAAAGAATCAAATTCCTTTCACTTAAATTAATAAATTATTAGTTTTAACTGTTAATAATATATTGAATCATTGGTTAACTTCTTCTAATAATTCGTGTCTGTTCTTTTGTTTCTTTGGATGAATTTCATCCCCTTTGTCTATGTATAATTACATGTGCAGGGTAATAAGATTTACTAACAATTTTGTTATTTTTTTTTTTGAACAGCATAAGATTTACTAACAATGAAGCGAAGAAATTACAGAATGATAGCCTCCAAAGCTATAGGATAATAATAATAATAAATGAAACAAAAATTTAAAAATAATGATATAATATAAGTTATGTTATTTAAAATATTAAAAAATAAATTTTATATTATTTATTAATTCAAAATTTTTAAACTCGTGATATTGTATATATTAATTAATTTAATAATGTGACAAATCACATTATTAATTTTAAATTTTTATTTTAAAATTTTATCCTTTATATCATTACTTATGTGATATTAATGGATAATTTTGCATATTATATATAAATAATTTACTGCAAAATAATTAATTACAATAATCAATAATTTGTTACTCTTAGTGAAAAAAAATTCAATTTCATTTAAACAAAATCTTGAGTTCGAGTTTAGAAATTTTACCTGACTTGATTGTAGATGTGAATACTAGATATCAAAAAATTCATAAAAAAAAAATATTGCAACAAATTATAAAAAAAAAAAAGAAAAAAGAAAAAAGAAGCAAAATCTCTTTATGGGGGCGAGCACATTTAAGAGGATTATTTAATTGTATGTTCAAAGAACCTGAAAAGTCGAATATGATACTTTGGCTTTCACAGTTAAGATATTATCTAATAGCTCATGTGGTCAATAGCAGAAGGATGCACCGCAATCAATTCAAACTTAGCTACCAGCTAGTCTTCTATCTACACTATCTTCTTTCATTATGGACAAATCTCAATAAAAATATATTAAGAGAATAGAGTTAGAGCAAACAAAACAAAAAGAGGAGAAATTGTCAACAAAAACAAAAAGAATTTCCTAACTTTATTCAGCCCTAATAGTTGAGTGGATCAGGGACAATGACTGGGGGCAAAGAAAGAGTGAAAGAAATCAAAAGAGAGAGAAGCAACTAAGATTGTGATTTGTGATAGTCAAATTTTCTCTTACATAATTGTAAAACTAATATCTACCATATAATATACGAGTCTTATTTTGATTGCGTTGTATGATGGGAACCTTACTAACCTATTCCTATCGTCCTCCATAAAATTCTACATGCATTTGTAGTCATTTTGACTCTATTAATTTTTTTAATTCTATAAAAAATGACTTTTAATGTTAAATTCACTTATAAATAATATATTATATGCCTTTTCTCTTAAAACAATTGTCTTTTTTATTTTAAATTTGTGTAACATTAATTGATTTTTTTATGTTTTAAAATAGATAAATATTTTTGTTTTTACTTTACCCATATCATTATCTATTTACTTTAATTAATTATTTAATTACAAAAATCTCTTTTCATTTTTTACTTCTTTTTTAGAGATATTATAAATAAATACAATTACTATCCTCAAATTCTTAATTTGAAAAAAAAAAACTAAAAACTAACAATTATTTTAAAATATAAAAAGTTTTATAAGTCAATTGAAGATTTAAATTCAAAGCTTAATACTGGAAAAAATTAATTTTTTTAAATATAATAAATCAATGTAAAAATATATATTTAAAATTATTTAAAAAAAATTAATTTTAAAATATAAAAATTGATCAAAAAAACATTTTAGCGGTAAATTAAAAGAAAAATAACAATTATGGAGTCTTTTTCGTCCAAAATTGAAAGTCATGAACCTACCATATGACAATAGGG